TAAACAAATGTAAGAAAATTCAGAAATTCTTCACAGTACAGTTGTCATGGCTAAATTGTTTGATGTCTTACTGTTGTGGGCTAGAGTTTTTTGAAATAAAAGTAGCTTTGTGTGTCTCTGTGGAAGAAGAAACCCAAAGACAGCATTACAATTATCACCCCGCAGTTTGCTGTTGTCCAGATGCTTCACAAAAGCAAGGGTGACACCTCAGTGTTGCTTGAACTGCACTGTGTACAGTTGCATGCAATTCATACCATTTTGGTTTTGTATTTGGGTATGTACACAAGGTATCTGATCTACATTTTCTTTTTTGGTTGGTTTACTTGGATGTGGATAGAAGGGGTTCTGAATTACCTTGAAAAATATCTGTGATAAGGGACCACAAAAAAATCATGGAAATGTTTTTAAAAATACCAGGGTATTAATCATCCCTAAAGCTGATCTTTTTTTTTTTTTTCATGTTGAATTTGAGCACAGGCTATCATAGTAATTTGAAAATACTTTCATTTTAAGCAGGGAACGCCACTAGAAAGGTCCAGGATGTGACAGATCAATGTATTTTTTAGCTAGAAAAATGATGATTGCAATTTTATTTTAACTTCCTGAGTACTTGAAAGACAGTGAATTGACAGATGATTCTTAGCATGTTTACATGTATGAGATGAGACTTACAATGAAAGGGACCTTTTCACAATTTCAGTGTTTTCCCCATGCAGGTGTCTTTCCACAGTTTCTAGCACTTAGGCATGTGCAGGAAGATGATAGAGCTGGAACCTGAGGTGTCAGTGGTTGGAGGTGGAGATTGTCCTTCAGTGTCAGTGTTTTAAATGACATTCATTTAAAAAAAAAATTCTCTGATTCTTCATTTGAAAATTTACTTTTGAAAGTCCAAAGACGTTTTACAAATTAACTGGAAAGCTAAATTTTTCTTTATTGCTGTTTGTTAGAGATGGGCAAGAAGAGAAAAGGGAAGTGCAACAAGGGTAGGAGGAGGACAGCTAGACAGAAAATAACATTTTTGGAAGCAAGTGCTGTTGGCTTTTGCAAACTCACTGTTCTTGAACTTCTTGGTTGAGCTTTTCCCATTTTGTTGGCACTGCTAATGTATGGTGATGGTTTAGTGGCTACCTCAGTTAAAAGTCATTAAAGTATTATTGAGTAAGCACGGGATATTTATAAGCTGTTAGGTACATTTGCAAAGCAAGATAGTGGTTTAGGATGTTAGGTAAGACAAGGTTTCACAGTTTTGCTGGAAGTATTGTTTTGGGTTTTTTTTTGTTTTCCCAAGAAATCCAGCTGAGGGCAAACTCCAAAAATTTATTTTTAATTGAGTAAATTTAACGCCCCCTTTTCTCCTGGAGTTTAACTTGTAGGTCTGTTTAGAGAAGAGTGTGAACTGCTGTTGTACAATAACTGGAGTCCATTCACAGAATTTATTGATCTAGCATCTCCTCCATACTTTTACCCTATGATTGTGTTTATCATTTTCCCGTGGTTTTCTAAATCCAGAGTGGATATAGATGCACATGAACCTGCTTACTGATTTGTGTTCTTTGAGCTTCCCAATCCCACATGCTACTGTGAAGTTCATGCAGAAATATGCATCTAAGGGGTCTGCTCCTGAAGAGCAGACCTTCTGGCATACCTGCAATCATACACAAACCACATCTGAATGCCTATATGAAGTTTCCCCATGTTCTTTTTCTTCAGTACATTTCTGATGGCCAGAAAGGTTTTACTCAGAGGCTTCTGCTTACTTTTGAATATTGGGTAACATCATAAGCTTAAGTTCAACACATTAAATGCTTGACAGATTTAGGACCATCCTTCTTTTTCACCAGTACGCGTGCTTGCTTGTGGATACTCTTTTTTTGGTCCTGCAAGCTGGTGACAAGCAGTATTATGACTTGCTCAGGCCTTTTTGTGTAATGTGAAGATGCATCTGTCCTGCAGCGTCTGGCTGCTGCTCCTTTACACAAATCTGAAATAGCTGTAAATTAGCTATCTTGGGCGCTTAGCTTGAACTGAACCTAAGCTCTAGAGCTCCCAAGAAGCTGAAGATTAAAACATGAGCGTGTGTTATTCCTGAACTGTGTGCTGCCAAGTTGTTCTGGCAGCAATGTTAAAGGTAAGGGCTAGAGCTGAGCCCTGGCTTCAGGATGTGAAGAAAATATGTGTTGCTGTGTGCTTGGTTTTGTCTCCTGGGATGGGGGGTAGGCATGTCACTGGGTGGGGGAAGAAAAAAAAATGGAAAACTGTACCAGGAAGAGATACGGAGATAAAATACAGTCCTTAAAAGATGACAGTGTCACCAGAAAACTGTGTGAAATACATGATTGTTCCAGCAATATTAACGAGGAGGAAAACAGAAGTTATATTTAATAGCTCTTACACAGTAACTTGTAGCATCTTGAGGCCTAATGGTCATCGCTGTACAGAGCGATCCGTTTCTGTGCTGTTCGTGTGCCACACCAGTGATGTCTGTGAGGACCAGGCAGAACGGTGTGGTTTGGGGATACAATTTTGCTGTAAGTTTCATAGAACTGTAGCAGTATGTTACACTAGATTTTTAAGACAAAAAGGATATAAAACTACTTGTTGTTACTTTTAATGATAATAAATTGCTGTTAAAGTTAGAGATTCTCTTGTGTTATTTTATTGACTTTCTGGCTTCGATGTTTTTTTATTTCCCCTTTTTTCCACTTCCCTGGGCTAAAGTTGTCAGTGTGGCATCCCATCCTTAAGGGTAAGGGAGCACTCAAGATTCATAGGTGCTCGTGGTTGAAAGGAATGACAAAAATCAGAGGGTCTGCAAAAGCTTACAAGGTTTTATTAGTAGATTACACACTTTGCATGGAAATTGGTGTGTTAGTCCTGGACCTACTATAAAAGTAGGTTGTGGGTTTTGAAGAGTGGGGTAGGGTGAAAGGGAACAGAGAGATGAATTAAAGAGGGGGAGAGAGAAAGACAGGGAGAGGGAAAGACAGATCACCAGTCCTGGGTCCAACATCAGTCCAGCTGGGGTGTCCTGGGGGTGAGTGTGCACCTGGGCTCCGTGTGGGTACCTTTTATAGATAAATTTATCTGCCCTGGAGAGAAATTTCTGACTTTCTGTGCAAATTAATATTTATGCACAGTCCATTCTCCTAGACCTTCCTGGAAATGGGTTGGAGGGCTTCAGGGATCTTTGGATCTTGGAGGTCTTGATCCAGCCCTACAGCCCCTGCCCACTTCTCAACCTCATTCCTGTGCTCACGCTGTGCTGGGTTGTGTTTATCTCCAGGAGCCAGAACAAGGAAGTTTGTCCCAGAAATGTGCTGCCCTACCTCCATATGGCCCTTTCTCCAGCCACATCCTGTTCTTTCTCACAGTGTGTTGTCACCAACAATCCTTGTGTGTAATTACCAGCAATCCACGGTTGGCCCCACAGCCTGTTGGTGTTTGAGGCATACACATCAGCCTCCTCGTCTTCTAGGCCTCTGCAGGCAGTAACTCCTCTGCAGTCTTGATCAACTCTTGACTTGATGCCTGTGGACAGAGTGTTCAGAGATAACTGAGTGGTTTTCATCTTTATGATTGCCATTATAAAGATTATGAAATTTCCAAGATCTTAGTCCCGAAAGTATATTGTACATGGGAATGTCCTTCCCTGAGCAGTACCTCCAGATCCAGGAGCACTAAGCTTTCGGGATGATAAACCAGTATAAATCAGCGGTTAGCACCATCACAGAACAATCCTCAAGCAAAAAAAAAAAAGGGTATAAAGCCAAGTGGATGAGAATGTAAGGAAACAGCAAATAGTCTCTGTAGGTTCACAGGAAGAATGACGGCTGGGAAGAACCAAATGTGGCTGGTCTGTGCTGCGGTTCTGAGCCTTCCTTGATTCATGTCACGACAAGGCCCTGGGCATCAGGAAAACACGTTCCACTTTTCTAAGAAATGTCTAAAAAGTATTAGCTGGGAAGCCCTGTGCCAAGTTGGGCAAAGTCTTTTGTGAACTTTGTAGCCTGCTTTGGCACACAGTTCCAGTGTTTATGGTGAAACATGTAATTGCATATTTGGTAACATGCTGTTAAATCAGGTGCACACTTGTCCTTTATGCCTGATGCCCCTGTGCTTGCCATGGGAAGCTCAGCTAAACACTCAAGAGTTCCTCAGCCAAGGCTGCCGAAGTAGATGGCTTTTTTAGGAAGTCTGTTGTACAGTTAACGTTGTAGGTAGATTTTCTGCTCCCAGCTGCCAGCCAAACAGGAAACTGCCCGTTAGTCACCAGCACTGGAAGCCACACAGGCATTTGTTGCAAGGAGACAGAGCAGTAAGTCTTAATATCCCTGTTTCTTTGAGATGGTTGCCTTCTTCCCTTTTGTGGGCAGTGTGTTTTTGGTCAGGGGAAGAAGCTGCTGAATTTCATTCAGTATATGATTCCCTCAACTGCAGATGTTCAGGGCAGAGACAGGCCTGCAGATCCTGCTCCCATGTGGACAGCACATCATCAGACACTGTGGTAAGTAGGGGTGCTTTCTGTAAATCAGTCATTTTGTTCATTCAGGGTGTGAGAAACCAATCCAAATAATAAATAATTCATACTGCAAAATGAGCAAAAAAAACACAGGAGATTAGAGTTGAGTTTCCCATTCTACATCTTGGATTCAGCCTCTTGGTATGCCCCTGCTCTGTATCACATTGCCTTATGTAAGATGTTTGTCACTTCAGCATCCTCATAGAAGTCTATCATAGGTGCATTTTGTTTGTGCCTAAGTAATCCCAGATCCTGCCATGGACATTTCTACTGCGGCCTTCAGGGCAAGTGTTAGGGCTGCTGGGTTGAGTGAGTGAATCAAAGGGTGTGGTGGGGGTGGGGGAGAGCAAAAAGTGTCCTCTTAAAGTAAATTTCTAATTGTATGATCTACTCTTATTGGTGCTGCATGGCCCTCTATGGTCATCTGAATATCTTGTCTCTCTTTGTTTATGCTAATGTTGGGTTGAAGGCACAAGAATTATGACAACACTAGAAAATACATCTGGAAGTAAAGGTTGGAGAAACTGGTATTTTGACTCCAGGATAGACTGCGGAAGACAAGAGTCTTTAAATATGTTAAAAGAGGATGCTATTTCCTGCATTAGGTATGATTGGAGGAATGAATATGGCTGAGCTTGAACGGTAGCAAATGAGACTTAGATTAGAAGAAATTTGCCAAAGTGAATGAGGAGAAGATTTTGTCTGGTGAAACATCTGGGAGGCTTCTGAAGGCAGGCAGTGACAGTTTTCTGCACAGCTAGTCCTGGAGAAGGAGCAGAACAATGAAAAGGTGTCTGCTTTCATGGCAGCTGTTCTCGACCTTAATAGGTGTGAGACCAAAGAAGCCTGATCTGACCAAGTCTGTATTGCTTCTGGTGTTTCTGATACACATTACCAGCATCATCTGGCAGACCTGACCAGCTTACCTTTCCCCAGAACTTTTCCTAAATAGCAGTGTTTAGAATCGATGGTATGGCAATATGGCTCCACCTTATTTCAGGACACCTTAATGATTATTTACAATAATATTCCATGTTATTAGTAAAACTCATTGTTTGTCTGATATTTTCCAAGAAGAAGAATGTTTTTTCATGATTAACAGATGCTTAATTGGTGGGAGGGAAGGAGAGGGGAAAGGAACATAATTGATAATATTGAGTCCATGGCTCATTGCTGGCAGGTAACCGATGGGGAACCATGGGTGTATCAGGTGTTAGTAATAGCTTGGCTAGGATATGTTTCATGGAAAGCTGTTCAGCTTCACGCTAGCATATGTTGTGCTTCACAGTCAAGAATTATTTTCTCCCTCCTCCCTCTTTTTGCCCTCATTCTGGAAACTTATTTCTTCGCTTACCAAGATGGGGCTGCAGCAGAACCTGAAAATAATCCATGCCACACTTTATATAGGGCAGTCAAGTGCTCCCAAGTAAATCACCTTTTCCAGGGAGAGGCTTCTCATCATCCCATTGGATGTGTCCTTACTCTCCAGAGCATAAGGTCACACTTTTGTCCTTCTTGCCTTCTTCACCATCTAGATGCCAGGGGTTGATGAGACTACCATAGTGCCTGGGCTCTAAAGGAGGGTTGTGGTATTCAATTTATTGCAGGTTGGCCCAAAATATGCCTCATCAGCTTGCCAGTTTATGTCAGATTATGTTTTCATCCCATCTAGGGTCTTCAGCATCCAACCAACCTGACCTGAAGCTGCTGTAGTTTCATTTCTCTTTTCCTGGCAGGTTTTTGCAGTTTTGTTCATTCCCATCCTCCTTTCTTACTGTTCTGTGTAAGGAAAGCTGTGAGGATTGCAAAGCAAATTCTGATTAATCGCTTGCTCATATTCCACAACAGTTCACACCTTACCCCTGAATATCCCTTATAGCCAACTCCTTAGCTCTCTTGCATCTCACAGGTATCAGGAAGGAAGGTAGTCAAAGTGCTAAACTCCTCATGTAGCAACCTGAAGACAGTTCAGCACAGCTCTGTGGTTCTGCCTCTCCTCCAGACAAGGAGCTGGGGGGTCTGCTGCCTTTTCCTGAGAAGAGCTTGAAGTCCAGCAGCCTTTTGGCTTATGCCTGTAATTTCCCTTAGTAGTGCCTCCTGGTTTGGTAACTGTGGAGAATGAAGACCAGAAGAAGCACGGCATCATACAGACCTCCTAGTGAGGCACGGCCGTGTTTGTGCCTGGGAGGCTGGAGAAGAGCCCGTGTACTGAGGAGCTGTTGCATGCAGTTTCAATCACATCTAGAGAGACTGGTTTTCTCTGTCACTGAGGTTGTCAGGTGCAAGTCTTTTCTTGATGAAAAACAAGGCACTGCTTTGAAAATAATCTCTGTGGTGCTAACCTTTATTTACATACGGGTATTTTGAGCCCCTGGGGTTCTTATTCTCACAGTTTCGTACGCAGCTCCCACAAGCAAGGATTGTCTCGAGGTGAAAAGAAGAAGAGAAAACTCAGTCAGTAATCATACTGCAACTGCAAGAAAGCTAGGAAAGAAACCAACCATATAAGACACATGATTAAAACCACAAGGACTGGCAACATGGTGCAAGCAAAGCCATTCCTCTGGAAATCCTGTGAACTTCCCATTCTGGGCTGCTAGGAAAACCCTTTCCTGGATTCAGATTTTCACTGTTGATTCACCTGGCTCGTAAGAAACAGGCAATTGGTGGTAATTTGAGATGTTAGATTAGCAGCAGAATTAGCCACACTACCTCAGCCCCAGCAGAACTTGTCCTGTCTTACCTCCTGCTCTGCAGGAGTCTGCTGTCCTCACTGAGTGCCTCAGTGACTCACAAGGGCACTGCAGATGCTGTGGTAGATCTGGGGCAAAGGGGCATAGGAGAGAGCTGAAACATCTCCTCATAATCCAGGAGATTGCTGGTGTTTCGTTGCCAGGAATGGGAGAAGGAAGTAGGGAGATCTTTACCCTTTGGAGAAGAGAGAGGGTCAGGGACCACCAGCCAGGCAGGAAATGCCTAAAAAGCAGCCCCCAGTACGGAATGAGGCCTTGTAACAGGCAGTGAGATCAGATCCTAACAGGGGCCCATGCAAATCCCATGAGGAGCTCGAGGTGGACAAAAAGCAAGGCCAGGATGTAGTTGCAACCTGGGCACTGGCCCTCTGTGTCAGTGAGCTGATGGAGGGGAGCTGCAGCAAAGCAAGACCTGCCCCACTGCTCCCTGAGCACCTCAGAACAGCTTCACTGTACTCTGGAGAGGAAAGCTGATCCTGGGGGCCAGGGCTGAGCCAGAGGTGGCAGCTGGCCCAGCACCCCTGTGAGTCAGTGGGGTTATAGGAGGATGGATCTTCTCAGACTGTGCTCTTTGATGTGGCTGCAGGGATCTCCAAATTTTGGAGGACTACCTGGCTTCTCGGGATGTTGCTTCTTTGAGCTGCTGCAGACAGAGTGACCAAAGCCCAGCAGGAATTAATTGGTTGCACAAGCCTTTTCAAAGGAGCATAGTATTGCATTCTCCTTGCTTCAGGCAGGAGAGTGACTCCTGGGTAGTGTTGTTCTTGCTAAAGACAATGGCAGGTAAGCAGAGACTGCTTGGCCCAAACTGTCGTTGCTATTATGGGAAGATTCAGGAATAGACCCAGGACAGGTGGGCTCCTCAGAGTATTACACCTAGTCTTGGTGTCATCTGACTGCTTGTAGGTCTTTGCCGTAGTTTCTTTTGCAATCTGCTCATTCTGTGCATTTTCCTTAAGCATTCTGCTTTCTTGGAGGGGCTGTGTCCTTCAATCTTCATTGGGGTATTGCCTTGGAGCCAGTCACTTCTTTTAGCATGTGAAAAATCACACGACAGATAGACCCTAAAGGGTTAAACTTTATTAAGTACCAAAATCTAGCAAAAATAAAATAATCCGAATGGGAAAGGGGAATCAACTTGGGGATTAGTCATTACTGAGTAGGATTTACAGAGGAGTAAAACTAGCGTAAAAATGTAAACTAGCTTTGCATCCACCCACCATACCATGTTTGCTTGCTAAGAAACACCAAGCAGTAACCGGTAGGCACATCATCTGATTTACTGAAGCAAAGGTCCATGGGTCAGAATAATTTAGCAGAAGAATGACATCCCAGGCATTAGAGGTACGTACCTGAGCTAGAAGAGACCTGTTTACAAACACAGAGCCCACTGGCCCGTCGGCCACCGAGGGGTCCCACGGCCTTTGCCCAGAGCTCTGCCTGCACATCGTGGTATTGCGGGTGGGCCGTGCTCCAAGGGAGGTTTCACAGGGACTGTTGCAATCAAAAATATTTTCCACCCGAAGCTGTACTCTGATTCGTCCCGTTGGTACAAGGCAGATCAGACAACTTGCCTACGGACAGCGCCGTGGCACTGATGAGGTTGTGGGCAGATGCACTACCCCACAGAGGCCTCCTTTCCCATTGATACGGCCCTTTGCAGTAAGGAATGCAGATTAAACCCAGTGTCCCAGCAGCTTTCTCACACCCTTCTCTGGCAGCCCTCTCCCACCAAGCCCCAACCACTTCCCAACAGATGGCAGCAGCCTTGCACATTGCCAGTGCACAAGGCTTGACACTGTGCACAAGGATGATGCCTGCGTTCAGCAATTTTGGGGATGTCTGTCATCCTTCCTCATTCAAACACCTTTTGCTTTCCAAGTAAATGTAGTCTGATAAAGAGATTTCAGTGCCTTGGCTGCTCTTGGTCTGTCCTGTACCTCTTCTCATGGCCTTAATAAGGGCCTCCTCTTCTCCTGTGACAGCATCAGCACCGCTAAGTCAAACCAACCTCGCAGCTTGCTTACAGCCCCAGCTTTGGGAGTCACATGAGTATGGAGGAGTCCTGGTTTACACTAACTGTTCTCCACAGCAAGCTGTGGATTTCCTGAGAAAAATTTGATAGCAGGGCCCCCGTGCTTACAGCCTTATATGCCAAAAGAGGAACAAGAGGAAACCAACTGTTGAGTTCATGTTTTGCTAAGTTTTATATCTCTGAAGCAAAGTCATGCTTTTGTAGGACTTGAGTTCGATCAGCTTTTGAAGGTAGGGTTTGCCACCACTAATCCTTTTCTTCTTCCCTTCCCTCCTAATACTGTCCATAAGTTTGTTTCTTCTCCCTTTTGTCCTGCTTCTTTCAGAGCTGCCTTTTTCTCTCCCCTTTGCATGACCGGGAGAGTTTCTGCTTCCATACTGCTATTGTATGCACTTGCATGTTCAGAGTGACACCTCTTCACAGGAGGCAATGGAAGGGTGAGGGAGGTCCTTCAGTGAAAGACCTCAGCATTGGTGCTGCAAAAGTAAAAACCATAGGCTCCAGAAAATATGTGAAGTTTTAGATACATATTTTCCCCTAATTTAAAAAAATATAATTATGCCAAGCCATCTGTTGCTAATGTAAAAAAAGATGTAAATAGATGATACATAGTGTACGGAGTGTCACATGAGTGCTCCATCTGCTGTGGGGAAAGTCAACGCTCCCCAGCAACAACACTGGGTGCTGAAGTGCAATCCAACATTTGGAGCAGCCTTAGCCTTTCCAAAGGCATAACCAGATCCAAAGGCTGACCCGAAAGAAAAACAACTCAGATAAGAAAGGGTGCGGTAAATCTCTGCATATCAATCCTTCATCTCTGTGTTTCTAAGAAGTAGCAATAGTGGCTACATTGAGGACAGGGTAAGTTATACCTTTATACTCTTGTTTCAGACTCTTTGCAAACTCAGGGGTCCTGATCCCTTAGTCACCTTTTTTAAGGTTTACCTGCCGTCCAGGAGTCTAACAAGCAACGTCTCTCTACTTAACAACAGCAGAAGGCACCCACAATGTCAAAGTAATTTAGCAATGAATTAGCAGATGGAACTCAGCTTTCATGAGCATGAAGTAGCAGCCATGGGGCAACAGCAATCCCTGCCATGGATGCAGACTGATGGACTCCACATCAGCTGTTGTCACCAAGGAAGAGATCCCAGAGCTGCTGTGGGTGGTTTGGTGTGCTCAGTAGTGGTCAGAAAAGGAAATAAAAGGTTGAGAATTATGAGAAGGGTAATAAAGGTAATTAACTAATTTGCTGGTGCATCTCACCATAAAATTCTCACTTTTCTGTGTTGTGAGCCCTCCACCTAGATGCCTCCCCATCTTAAGATGGCGGTAGTGGCAGGACAGGATAGAGTCCAAGAAGCTGGAAGCACAGGATAGTTCTCTGCCAGGACACAGCAGAAGTACTAGGACTCTTAACCTGCAAAACAGAGGAGGTATGGTAGAGGTCTAAAAAACCAGGACTTAGATGGGATATGTGACAGGGAAATCACTATTCACTGCTTCTCATGCCACCAGGTGTGGGTAACACCCCATGGAGTTAGCAGAGAACAGTTCCTAAACTCAGCAAAAGGACAAGCTGCTTCGCAAGGTGCATAGTTACCCTCTGCTGATGGAGCTGGTGATGTTAAAAGTCTGTGCAGTTTCCAAAAGCCTCTGAACAGACCTGTGGCACAAATTCCATGAGAACTGATAAATGCAGAAGCCCCAGGACAACCTTTCCCTCCAAAAGTTCTCAAATGCTCATCAGCAATAGATGAAGTTCTTTTATCCCACCTCCCTCTTTTCTGAAGTGCCTGCTGCCATCATCCAGGGAGTTGTGTCAAATGGCCCCACAGTCTCACCAAGTTTGGATGAGCAGTTTCGCAGAACCCGGTATCGTGTTTCCAGCTTGTAACAGATTTGGGACAAGAAAGGGCAACCCTGTAGAAAGCACTGAAAAAGCAAGCTGCCTCCCCACAGTACCGCCAGCCCCTCCTTCCCAGGTTTGTCCTGAGTGGGTGTGGGGTCTGCCTTCGAAGGGCAGACTTTTCCTCTGGGTGTACAATCTGAGCTGCCTTGGCCCACGTGCAGTCCAGAGGTGGAGAGAGAGGCAACAATGCGGAGAGCAGGGCAGGTCGTGGTGGCTGGACCTTGTGTGAGGCTCCCCACACCATGGTCTCCCCCTGCCCCCATTAGTTACTGCAGGGAGGAAGCATTATCCAGCGCAGGGATGGAGCCAGCAAACCATCCCTCAGGGCACAACTGGGCATTCCTCTTTCTTTTCAGGTGTTGGAGGGTATCATCCAGCACCTCTGCATCTCTAAGGGGGCCAGGAGGCTTCCCTCCAAGGCTACACGACTACACAAAAAGTTTTTCACCCCTTAACACGAAGGTAGTGTCTAACTCAATATGGCTTTTCACAGCAAAAGTATGGCTGTGAGAAAACTGAAGAGAAACCATCTGAAGTCTTCTGGGAGAGGGGCAGTGGGGCACAAGTGGATTCCCTTGTGCTCTCTCCCTGGCCTGGAGCCAGGGCTTCTTGCTCCAGTGGT